ATCCAATTCTGAATCCAGTCCCAAACCTAGTCCGGAATCCAATCCCAAATCCAGTTCTGAATCCAGCCCCAAACCCAGTCCTGCATCCAATCCCAAATCCAGTCCTGAATCCAATCCCAAATCAAATTCTGAATCCAGTCCTAAACTCAATCAGAATTCAATTCCAGATCCAATCCCGAATCCAATCCGAAACCCAATCCCAGATCCAATCTTAAACTCAGTCAGAATCCAATTCCAGATCCAATCCCAAATCCAGTCCTGAATCCAATCCAAATCCCAAATCCAGTCCCAGATCCAATCGCAAACCCAAATCCAATCCCAATCCCAAATCCAACCCCAAATCCAATCCCTAACTGAATCTGAATCCAATCCCAGATCCAGTTCCAGACCCCGTCCTGAATCCGATCCCAAGTGCAACCCCAGATCCCATGCCAAATCCAATCCCAAACCCAATCCCAAATCCAATCCCAAACCCAATCCCAAATCCAATCCTAAATCCAATCCCAAATCCAGTCCTGAATCTAGTCCCAAATGCCATCCTGAATCCAATCCCAAACCCAATCCCAAATGCAATCCCAAACCCAGTCGCAAACCCAAACCCAATTGCAATCCCAAATCCAATCCCAAATCCCATCCTGAATCCAATCCCGAATCCAATCCTGAATCCAATCCCGAATCCAATCCCAAACTGAGTCTGAATCCAACCCCAGATCCAATTCCAGACTCAATATTGAACCCAATCCCAAAGACAAGCCCAGATCCCATCCCAAACCCAATCCCAAATGCAATCCCAAACCCAGTCCTGAATCCAATCTCAAACCCAGTCCGAGTGTCTCTGATCCCAAAATGGAATTCCCAATATCTCTGATCCCAAAATGGAATTCCCAATGTCTCTGATCCCAAAATGGAATTCCCAATATCTCTGATCCCAGTATGGAATTCCCAGTGTCACCCATCCCACTGCAGAATTCCAGGTCTCATTGATCCCACTGTGGAATTCCAGTGTCACTGATCCCACTGTGGAATTCCAGTGCTGTGATCCCAGAGCAGAATTCCTGGAGTCTCTGATCCCACTGCAGAATTCCCAGAGTCTCTGATTCCACTGCAGAATTCCCGATGTCACCGATCCCACTGCAGAATTCCCGGTATCTCCGATCCCACTGTGGAATTCCTGGTGTCACCGATCCCAGAGCAGAATTCCCAGAGTCTCTGATCCCACTTTGGAATTCCTGGTGTCACCAATCCCACTACAGAATTCCCGATGTCTCCGATCCCACTGTGGAATTCCAGTGCTGTGATCCCGGTGCAGAATTCCCGGAGTCTCTGATCCCACTGTGGAATTCCCGATATCCTCAATCCCACTGCAAAATTCCTGTGTCACCGATCCCACTGTGGAATTCCCAGAGTCTTGGATCCCAGTGTGGAATTCCTCAATCCCACTGTGAAATTCCCGGTGTCACCGATCCCAGTGCAGAATTCCCGGTGTTTCCAATCCCACTGTGGAATTCCAGTGCTGTGATCCCAGTGCAGAATTCCCAGAGTCTCTGATCCCACTGTGGAATTCCTACTGTCACTGATCCCACTCTGGAATTCCTGGTGTCTCCAATTCCCTGTGGAATTCCAGTGTCACTGATCCCACTGTGGAATTCCCAGAGTGGAATTCCCAATGTCCCCAGTCCCACTCTGGAATTCCCAGAGTCATCAATCCCAAGATGGAATTCCTGGTGTTGCCAATCCCACTGTGAAATTCCAGTGTCACTGATCCCAGTATGGAATTCCCAGTGTCACCCATCCCACTGCAGAATTCCAGGTCTCATTGATCCCGCTGTGGAATTCCAGTGCCATTGATCCCACTGTGGAATTCCCGCTGTCTCCAATCCCCTGTGGGATTCCCAGCAGCATCAATCCCACTCTGGAATTCCCAGTGCCATCAATCCCAAGATGGAATTCCTGGTTTTATCCATCCCACTGTGGGATCCCCCTGTCACTGATCCCACTGTGGAATTCCCAGTGTCTCCAGTCCCACTGTGGAATTCCAGTGCTGTGATCCCAGAGCAGAATACCCGGTGCTGCTGATCCCACCGTGGAATTCCCAGTACAGAATTCCCAGTTCTCCAGTCCCACAGTGGAATTCCAGTGCTGTGATCCCAGTGCGGAATTCCCGGTGTTACTGATCCAACTGTGGAATTCCCAGTACAGAATTCCCAGTGTCTCCAGTCCCACTCTGGAATTCCCAGAGTCTCTGATTCCTGGAATTCCCAGTGCCATCAATCCAACTCTGGAATTCCCAGTGCCATCAATCCAACTCTGGAATTCCCAGTGCCATCAATCCAACTCTGGAATTCCCAGTGCCATCAATCCCACTCTGGAATTCCCAGTGCCATCAATCCCACTCTGGAATTCCCAGTGCCATCAATCCAACTCTGGAATTCCCAGTGCCATCAATCCAACTCTGGAATTCCCAGTGCCATCAATCCAACTCTGGAATTCCCAGTGCCATCAATCCAACTCTGGAATTCCCAGTGCCATCAATCCCAAGATGGAATTCCTGGTTTTATCCATCCCACTGTGGGATCCCCCTGTCACTGATCCCACTGTGGAATTCCCAGTGTCTCCAGTCCCACTGTGGAATTCCAGTGCTGTGATCCCAGTGCAGAATTCCCAGTGTTGCTGATCCCACTGTGGAATTCCCAGTACAGAATTCCCAGTGTCTCCAGTCCCACTCTGGAATTCCCAGAGTCTCCAGTCCCGGTGTGGAATTCCTGGTGTTGCCAATCCCACTGTGGAATTCCAGTGTCACTGATCCCACTGTGGAATTCCCAGAGTGGAATTCCCAATGTCCCCAGTCCCACTGTGGAATTCCCAGAGTCTCCAGTCCCAGTGTGGAATTCCTGGTGTTGCCAATCCCACTGTGGAATTCCAGTGTCACTGATCCCACTGTGGAATTCCCAGAGTCTCGGATCCCAGTGTGGAATTCCCGATATCCTCAATCCCACTGTGGAATTCCCAGAGTCTCTGATTCCACTGTGGAATTCCCAATGTCCCCAGTCCCAGTCTGGAATTCCCAGAGTCTCCAGTCCCGGTGTGGAATTCCTGGTGTTGCCAATCCCACTGTGGAATTCCAGTGTCACTGATCCCACTGTGGAATTCCAGTGCTGTGATCCCAGTGCAGAATTCCGGGTGTTGCTGATCCCACCGTGGAATTCCCAGTTTCCAATTCCAGTGCAGAATTCCCAGTGCCTCCAGTCCCACTGTGGAATTCTTGGTGCTGGGATCCCACGTCATGATCCAACCCTAAAATTCCTACTGTCACTGATCCCACTCTGGAATTCCTGGTGTCTCCAATTCCCTGTGGAATTCCAGTGTCACTGATCCCACTGTGGAATTCCCAGAGTGGAATTCCCAATGTCCCCAGTCCCAGTCTGGAATTCCCAGAGTCTCCAGTCCCGCTGTGGAATTCCAGTGCCACTGATCCCACTGTGGAATTCCAGTGCTGTGATCCCAGTGCAGAATTCCCGGTGTTGCTGATCCCACTGTGGAATTCCCAGTACAGAATTCCCAGTGTCTCCAGTCCCACTGTGGAATTCCCAGAGGCTCCAGTCCCGGTGTGGAATTCCTGGTGTTGCCAATCCCACTGTGGAATTCCAGTGTCACTGATCCCACTGTGGAATTCCCAGAGTGGAATTCCCAATGTCCCCAGTCCCACTCTGGAATTCCCAGAGTCTCCAGTCCAGGTGTGGAATTCCTGGTGTTGCCAATCCCACTGTGGAATTCCAGTGTCACTTTTCCCGCTGCATCCCTGGGATTCCTGGAGTATCCTGGTGCATCCCATCCCATCATTCCTGGGAAATTCCCGCTGCCGGGGCGTGGCAGGACCCCATCATGGAATATCCTGGAATAACCCCCAGGATGGGATTGGGAATATCCAACTTTTGAGGAACTCATCCCAAAGAAATCCCGGTTGGGGTGTCCGGGATTCTCCAGGTCCTTCCCTGCGGGTCGATCCCGGTTTTCCGTGCTGGGTGTTGTCCTGCCCGGGGACCGGGATTCCCGGCATTCCCGGCATTCCCGGGATTCCGAGTGCTGTTCCCACGCAGGGCCATGGCGCGGCTCTGCGGGCCCCGGCTGCCGCCGATCGTCCGGAGCCTCATCCCGGCGCTGGGAAGCGCCTTGGAATGCCAGAGGGTGACCAGCAGCGCCTTCCTGGCCGAGGTGAGCGGGAAGCGCGGGAATGCCGGGCTGGGCTGGTCCACCATGGATCCATGGGTCCGTCCTTCCATCCATCCATGGATCCATTCATCCATCATCCATCCATCCATCCATGGATCCATCCATGGATCCATCCATGCATCCATGGATCCATCCATCCATGGATCCATCCATCATCCATCATCCATCCATGGATCCATCCATGGATCCATCCATGCATCCATGGATCCATCCATCCATGGATCCATCCATCATCCATCATCCATCCATGGATCCATCCATGGATCCATCCATGCATCCATGGATCCATCCATCCATGGATCCATCCATCATCCATCATCCATCCATGGATCCATCCATGGATCCATCCATGCATCCATGGATCCATCCATCCATGGATCCATCCATCATCCATCATCCATCCATGGATCCATCCATGGATCCATCCATGCATCCATGGATCCATCCATCCATGGATCCATCCATCATCCATCATCCATCCATGGATCCATCCATGGATCCATCCATGCATCCATGGATCCATCCATCCATGGATCCATCCATCATCCATCATCCATCCATGGATCCATCCATGGATCCATCCATGCATCCATGGATCCATCCATCCATGGATCCATCCATCATCCATCATCCATCCATGGATCCATCCATGGATCCATCCATGCATCCATGGATCCATCCATCCATGGATCCATCCATCATCCATCATCCATCCATGGATCCATCCATGGATCCATCCATGCATCCATGGATCCATCCATCCATGGATCCATCCATCATCCATCATCCATCCATGGATCCATCCATGGATCCATCCATGCATCCATGGATCCATCCATCCATGGATCCATCCATCATCCATCATCCATCCATGGATCCATCCATGGATCCATCCATGCATCCATGGATCCATCCATCCATGGATCCATCCATCATCCATCATCCATCCATGGATCCATCCATGGATCCATCCATGCATCCATGGATCCATCCATCCATGGATCCATCCATCATCCATCATCCATCCATGGATCCATCCATGGATCCATCCATGCATCCATGGATCCATCCATCCATGGATCCATCCATCATCCATCATCCATCCATGGATCCATCCATGGATCCATCCATGCATCCATGGATCCATCCATCCATGGATCCATCCATCATCCATCATCCATCCATGGATCCATCCATGGATCCATCCATGCATCCATGGATCCATCCATCCATGGATCCATCCATCATCCATCATCCATCCATGGATCCATCCATGGATCCATCCATGCATCCATGGATCCATCCATCCATGGATCCATCCATCATCCATCATCCATCCATGGATCCATCCATGGATCCATCCATGCATCCATGGATCCATCCATCCATGGATCCATCCATCATCCATCATCCATCCATGGATCCATCCATGGATCCATCCATCCATCATCCATCCATCCACCCATCAATCCATCCATCCATCCATGCATCCATCCTTCCATCCATCCACCGATCTGTTGATCCATGCATCCATCCATCCATGCATCCATCCAACCATCCATGGATCCATCCATCATCCATCAGCCATCCATCCATCCATCCATCCATCCATGGATCCATTCATCCCACATTCCCACCTGCTCCTGTAGCCCATCCCAGAATCCGGATCATGTCTGGACCTTGGAGTGTTTCAAATTCCAGCCGGAGCTGAGGGGAAGGAGAAGAGAATTCCAGCAGTTCCGCAGGATGCGCGGAATCTCCAGTCCCAGACTGGATCTCCAGATCCCAGTTTTCCCAAAAATTCCCAAAATTTCCCCAACCCCACATCAAAACCATTCTAGGCCCCCAAATCCCACCGTGGGCTGAGTTCTCCCTGGATTTTCCCAGAGCAGCTCCAACCGCCGCTCTTCCCGGGAATTCCATCTCCACCTCATCGATCCGGGGGGTTTTTCCCGGTGCATCCCGAGGTTTTTTTTCCCTTCTCCAGCTCCTCAACCACAACGTGGTGAACGACCTGGTGCTGCTGGAGCCCATCCTGGACGCGCTGACGGCTCTGGAGAAGGATTCCTGCCTCCTGGTGCGCGTCCTGGCGCTCCGGGGGCTCGGCAACGTGGCCTCGGGATCCCCGGAAAAGGTGGGATTTGGGATTTGGAGGGAGACGGGGAATGGATTCCCGCTTCCGCAGGGATGGAATTCCCTCCGGAGCATCGGGGTGAGGTTTGGTGGGGCGGTGAGGAAGCTCCAGGGATTGGGATGCACCGGGAGACTCCGAATCCTAAAAATCCTGATTTTTCTGGAGCCGTTTTTGGGAATCCTGGGAAGTGCCAGAGCCTTTCCCCAGCCCCGTTTTCCAGGGATTCCCAGGAAAGGTTTCCAGAGCCGCAGGAATTCCAGCTGGGATCGGCCCCTTTTCCCAGCTTCTCCCGGGAATCCTCGGCCTCAGTCCCTGCCCAGCTTCCCAGGCCTCCAAATGCCAGAATTTCACCAAATTCCGGGGGAATATTCCCAAAAATCCCTCAACCAAAGCCGGTTTCCAGAGCCGCAGGAATTCCAGCTGGGATCGGCCCCTTTTCCCAGCTTCTCCCGGGAATCCTCGGCCTCACTCCCTGCCCAGCTTCCTGAGGCCCAAAATCCTGGAATTTTAGCCCTTTCCAGGGGAATATTCCCGGAAATCCCAACCCGAGGCCGTTCCCAGGGTCCTGTCCCTGTCCCCTGGGAGCAGATCCCACCCTGGATCCCCCTGGATCTCTTCAATCCCGCTTTTCTTCGGGATGAGCCCCCCCCCAGCTCCTTCAGCTGCTCCTGGGAATTCCCCCATTCCCAATCCCAACCATGAACCCAGCAAATCCCCGTTTGCCCCAAATTCCAGGGGAATATTCCCAAAAATCCCAACTTGAATCCGTTCCCTCTTTCCCCATCCCTTTTTCCCACGGAGCAGATCCCAAACTCCCCCTGGATCCCCTCAATCCCAATTTTCTCCGGGACAATCCCCCCCCCCCAGCTCCCTCCCGGGGCTCCGTATCCCGTTTTTCCTGGCTGCATTCCCGGTTTTCCCGGCAGATCCGGAGGCACGGCTCGCAGCTGCTGGCCTCCATGGTCAACGGCATGGACGACAAGGACGATCCCAACAATCTGCTGGCGCTGGAGGCCATGTCCAGCCTCTCCAAAATCCTGGATCACCTGGAAGAGCGGGACGTGCAATCCATGCTGCTCCACATCGCCATCCGCATCCGGCCCTTCTTCGACAGCGTGAGGAGCCAGCCCGGAATTCCCGGAGTTGGGAATGGGGTTGGGCCGTGGCGGGAGCACCTCCGGGGGTCCGTCCCGTGGGGATTTCCCATCCCAGATTTCTCCCTTGGGCTGGGATTTCTCCTGGATCCTCATCCGTGCTCCTGTGCTGGGCTAAGGGTCCCGCTGGGATTGGCCCATCGGGATTTTCCCACTGGGATTGTCCCGTTGGAATTGTCCGTCTGGGATTGTCCCGTTGGGATTTTCCCATTGGGATTTTCCCACTGGGATTGGTCCATTGGAATTGTCCCCCTGGAATTGTCCCCCTGGAATTGTCCCCCTGGAATTGTCCCCCTGGAATTGTCCCCCTGGAATTGTCCCCCTGGAATTGTCCCCCTGGAATTGTCCCCCTGGAATTGTCCCCCTGGAATTGTCCCCCTGGAATTGTCCCCCTGGAATTGTCCCCCTGGAATTGTCCCCCTGGAATTGTCCCCCTGGAATTGTCCCCCTGGAATTGTCCCCCTGGAATTGTCCCCCTGGAATTGTCCCCCTGGAATTATCCCTGGGGATTGTCCCACTGGGATTGTCCCATTGGATTTTCCCACTGGGATTGGTCCATTGGAATTGTCCCCCTGGAATTGTCCCCCTGGAATTATCCCTTGGGATTGTCCCACTGGGATTGTCCCACTGGGATTGTCCCACTGGAATTGTCCCTCTGGAATTGTCCCATTGGGATTGGTCCACTGGAATTTCCCATTGGAATTGTCCCACTGGGATTGTCCCATTGGGGTCATCCTATTGGAATTTTCCCATTGGGATTTTCGCCTTGGGATTTTCCCGTTGGAATTGTCCCACTGGGATTGTCCCACTGGGATTGTCCGCTGGTGCTTTGGACAAAGGGAATGGTGGGATCCCAGGATGGGGATTTTGGTGTCAGAGGGTGGGATTTTGGGATGCCGGGATGGGAATGGTAGGATCACCAGGATTTTGGGAACCCAGGATGAGATCTCAGGATCACGGGATGGGAATGGTAGGATCACCAGGATTTGGGGATCCCAGAATGGGATCTCAGGATCATGGAATGGGAATGGTGGGAACAGCAGGATGGGGATTTTGAGATGCAAGGATGGGAATGGTAGGATCACCAGGATGAGGATTTTGGGATCCCAGGGTGGGATTTTGGGATGCCAGGATGGGAATGGTAGGATCACCAGGATTTGGGGATCCCAGAATGGGATCTCAGGATCATGGAATGGGAATGGTGGGAACAGCAGGATGGGGATTTTGAGATGCAAGGATGGGAATGGTAGGATCACCAGGATGAGGATTTTGGGATCCCAGGGTGGGATTTTGGGATGCCAGGATGGGAATGGTAGGATCACCAGGATTTGGGGATGCCAGGATGGGATCTCAGGATCATGGGATGGGAATGGTGGGATCCCAGGGTGGGGATTTTGGGATGCCAGGCTGGGAATGGTAGGATCACCAGGATTGGGATTTGGGGATCCCAGGGTGGGATTTTGGGATCCCAGGATGGGAATGGTGGGATCCCAGGATGGAGATTTTGGAGTCAGAGGGTGGGATTTGGGGGTGCCAGGATGAGATCTCAGGATCACGGAATGGGAATGGTGGGAACAGCAGGATGGGGATTTTGGGATCCCAGGATGGGAATGGTGGGATCACCAGGATTTTGGGATGCCAGGATGGGATCTCAGGATCACAGGGTGGGAATGGTGGGATCCCAGGATTTGGGGATCCCAGGGTGGGATCTCAGGATCATGGGATGGGAATGGTGGGAACAGCAGGATGGGGATTTTGGGATCCCAGGCTGGGAATGGTAGCATCACCAGGATTGGGATTTGGGGATCCCAGGGTGGGATTTTGGGATCCCAGGCTGGGAATGGTAGGATCACCAGGATTGGGATTTGGGGATCCCAGGGTGGGATTTTGGGATGCCAGGATGGGAATGGTAGGATCACCAGGATTTGGGGAACCCAGGATGAGATCTCAGGATCACGGGATGGGAATGGTAGGATCACCAGGATTTGGGGATCCCAGAATGGGATCTCAGGATCATGGGATGGGAATGGTGGGAACAGCAGGATGGGGATTTTGAGATGCAAGGATGGGAATGGTAGGATCACCAGGATGAGGATTTTGGGATCCCAGGGTGGGATTTTGGGATGCCAGGATGGGAATGGTAGGATCACCAGGATTTGGGGATGCCAGGATGGGATCTCAGGATCATGGGATGGGAATGGTGGGATCCCAGGGTGGGGATTTTGGGATGCCAGGCTGGGAATGGTAGGATCACCAGGATTGGGATTTGGGGATCCCAGGGTGGGATTTTGGGATCCCAGGATGGGAATGGTGGGATCCCAGGATGGAGATTTTGGAGTCAGAGGGTGGGATTTGGGGGTGCCAGGATGAGATCTCAGGATCACGGAATGGGAATGGTGGGAACAGCAGGATGGGGATTTTGGGATCCCAGGATGGGAATGGTAGGATCACCAGGACTGGGATTTGGGGATCACAGGGTGGAATTTTGGGATCCCAGGCTGGGAATGGTAGGATCACCAGGATTTGGGGAACCCAGGATGAGATCTGACGATCATGGAATGGGAATGGTGGGATCCCAGGATGGGATCTCAGGATCACGGGATGGGAATGGTGGGATCCCAGGATGGGGATTTTGGGATGCCAGGATGAGGTCTCTGGATCATGGGATGGGAATGGTGGGATCCCAGGATGGGGATTTCGGGATCACAGGGGGGGATTTTGGGATGCCAGGATGGGATCTCAGGATCATGGGATGGGAATGGTGGGAACAGCAGGATGGGGATTTTGGCGTCCCAGGATCGGAATGGAAGGATCACCAGGATTGGGATTTGGGGATCCCAGGGTGGGATTTTGGGATGCCAGGATGGGAATGGTAGGATCACCAGGATTTGGGGGTGCCAGGATGAGATCTCAGGATCACGGGATGGGAATGGTGGGAACAGCAGGATGGGGATTTTGGGATCCCAGGATGGGAATGGTGGGATCACCAGGATTTTGGGATGCCAGGATGGGATCTCAGGATCACAGGGTGGGAATGGTGGGATCCCAGGATTTGGGGATCCCAGGGTGGGATCTCAGGATCATGGGATGGGAATGGTGGGAACAGCAGGATGGGGATTTTGGGATCCCAGGCTGGGAATGGTAGCATCACCAGGATTGGGATTTGGGGATCCCAGGGTGGGATTTTGGGCCGCCAGGCTGGGATCTATGGGATTTTCCCCCGGTGATTCCCGTATTTCCCGTTCTGCCAGGAACACGCGGATCTCCGGCACTCCTCCATCCTCCTCTTCGGGAACCTGTCCCGCTTCAGCCGCTCCGACTCCGAGGTTTTCTCGGAGCAGATCCTCAACGGGCTGGTGACGCTCCTGCTGCACCTGCAGGACCCGCAGCCCGACGTGGTCAAGGTGGGATTCCCGGGAATTCCGGGGGGTTCCCCACCCCAACCGAGTGCCCAATTCCCGGCATTCCCGCTTTTCCAGGCGTGCAAGTTCGCGCTGCGGATGTGCGGGCCCAGCCTGGGCTGCGAGGAGCTCCGGGAAATGTTCGGGAATCACCTGCGGGAAGAGAGGGGGCTGCACTACGGGGAGTTCATCAACGACGTCTGCAAGTTCCTGGTGGGACACGCCGGGATTTTGGGATATTGGGACATTGGGACATTGGGATATTGGGATATCGGGATATCGGGATATTGGGATATTGGGACATTGGGACGTTGGAATTTGGGGATGTGCAGGGGCTGCACTACGGGGAGTTCATCAACGACGTCTGCAAGTTCCTGGTGGGACACGCGGGGATTTTGGGATTGGGATATTGGGATATTGGGACATGGGGACATGGTGACATTGGGGTATTGGGATATTGGGGTATTGGGACGTTGGGATATTGGGATATTGGGGTATTGGGACGTTGGAATTTGGGGATGTGCAGGGTCTGCACTACGGGGAGTTCGTCTACGACGTCTGCAAGTTCCTGGTGGGACACGCGGGGATTTTGGGATTGGGATATCGGGATATCGGGATACTGGGGCATTGGGACATGGGGACATGGGGATATCGGGACATTGGGATATTGGGTTATTGGGACATTGGAATTTTGGGATGCG